ATATATGTACTATACAAAGGGGGAGAGAAGAGGTAAATGGGAAAGAGAGTTACAAGGTGGGGAATCATATCCCTACAACCAAATGGGAAGTTCAGGTAGCCGACTAGTTCGGTTACTAAAAGCCATTATTCCACCTATTAAAGAACCAGTGAATAACAACCTAAACTTATGTTTAATAACCAATAAATACGAATCACTCTGATACTTCAACACGTCCCAGAAAATAATAGCATAAAACAAAAAACCAGATAAATAGATGCTCATTTTGCCTTGTATTTAAGATGCATAAAAGCTGCTGAATTTCAACATTGGGTTCAATATTGAAGTGGTAACAACATAGAGAAAAACCTCCCATCGGTTTTTCTCTTTATTAGTGGCATTGTTTAATATTATCTTTTACACAATATATTTTTATGACGGATTTATGCAGTAAATGAACTTCCTAAGCACTAAAAGGTAGCATCAAATTTGCACAGTAATAACAAAAAATCACCCCTATTAGTTATCTTATTCCTATCACTACAACAAAAATAACTTTTAGAGGTCATAAATATACACATTAACAAAGAGTGTCTTGAGTCATATACTTCACATGGTATCAAGATCCATATTAACTCTCACAAGTCCTTTTTTTTATGATAGCCCTCCCACCTTTCCCATTAAATGGCCTCAAACATCTCCGCCCTCAATTCTGATGCCAACACCAACACAATTGTTGTTTAATTTAATTTTGTAACCTAGGCACCCATCAAATTAGCTGGCACCAACAACTCCATGCTTATGACCGATCACAACCTTTATGGCAATGTCAATGATTCTCACCTGCCCCTACCCGCATAGTATCTCAAAACAATCAAGATATCAAAAATCCTAAGTTTGTTACATGGTATCGCCAAGGTTGAGTAATCCAACATGCTATGTTAGCATCAGTCGATGTTGTTCAAACTCTTCAAAATCCTTGCCGCACCCGTGTCAACACGACATGGGTATGTTAGGTGTTTATAAAGAATTAAATTTTGTTAATGTTAGTTCAAGAGCTTTGTAATAAATCGAGATATATACTTAATATGTCATAATATACATTTATTGGTCGTATCCTAGCACCTGTTTCTGCATTTAGATCCATACCCTTGAATTCTAAATTTTATGTGATGAAAAATATGACCTTTAGATCCGCATCTGTATCGAATACCCGCACTCGAGTCTGAGAAACTTAGGCATCAGTTGATCTAACACGTGTTGTTACTGTTGCCGATCTAGTCACTGTGTGGGATGCTTTGCATACTGCATATGCAAGCATATCTCAAGAGAGAATCCTTAGTTTACGTGATCATATGGCTCATCTCTCCAAAGAGCCTTCCTGTTGCCCAATTATCTCCACTAAGTTCAATCTCTCTGCAATGAACTTGCCACTATCAAGGATCCAAAGTCTAATGAAGAACTCTTACAAAACACTACCATACACGGCTTTTGTCGGCATGCTACCCTAGCCTACCTCATCTAAAGGTATTTTAGCCGCCTGCATTGGGATCAAATTGACTACTCTATGAAAGACGAGAGAAGAATCCAATCTCCCCTGTCTGTTCCATTCTGAATGGTTGGTCAGTTGACCAGCATACATTGATTTATCGGATCAATTGTTGTAGTAAAGTGCAATGGACGACACAAAAGTCCCTTTTAGATAGTACCATCGACCGGAGATCCCACTACGAAGAAATTCTGGGAGATTCGAAAGTAGTTTCGAGCTCATATTTGTCGTCAGTTGAGAATGGAAATTGAACTCTATTAGATCAAATCTTATGTTGCTTCCAGTAGCTCTAATTTAAAATGCTTAGGCTCGAATACCTCTGGAACAATAAATAGTACTTTTAAGGATCTTCGTGCTTCAAAAACGCAACGTAGTTAGGGGTGAACTGTGTTTTATTGCTGCTAAGCTTCCGTAGTAAGAGCATGACCACTTATAACCACTGTTGTCAAAGGTGTGCTTAAGACCTGAAGCAAAGCTCAAAACGTGTTGAGCACTTCGCCTCGCTTAATGTGTGGTTCAGTGTCATCACATTTTTCCTTGCCAGTGAGCTTCTTGAAAGAGGCAACACTAAACAATTGATCCTTCACTTTATCGCAAGTTCTTTTTGATTTTTTTTTTCATATAGTTGTCACTCGTTTTTATAATTCTAAGCCTTGAATTAAACATATATATTTGTATTTTTTTCCTTTGTGCCTTTTTTCGTTAAAGCTCACGCTTTATTTGCACTTAAAACCCCAACGAACCTTTTGCGCGTTTTGAACACGGTTTATAACTGAATTATTTGATAATGCCTCCACCCTTTCTAACCTTGAACAACTGTGAATTGAATAACCTATCTAATGGGGCTCACCCCACAAGCACCAAACACTTACCTTTTTCTCTTCCTTCGGCTTACCTCCACAAACACGCCGCTTAGGAGCCCTACTCATATTTTAAAGGCGTTACTTCAATTTAAGCGCAAGCGCCCCTTGTATTTCATAAAGTGGTTGTAGTCAAAATCCTAGCTTGACATTGAGCCAACTCCAACATTGCTTTTAATTAGGTACAAATGCCTCTCCCACAAATAACCCTAAAATCTTACCGGGAATTATGCTTAGATCAGCAAATATAATAGTTTTTTTTTTTATGATCATTGTGGTGTTAGGTCAGCTTACTACGTCCCACATATCAGGTAATTCTATCTATAAAGGCCAACTCAAATAAGAAGCAAATTTTAAAATTCAGTGAGGACTAAGGTACCTTGCGCCAGTGTGAGCCATGAAACTCCGAACAGTACCCTTGCGCCAAGATCCCAACTTGTGCTGCAAAGCAAATAACAATTAATTATTTTTTTTAAAAAAAGATGAAGAATTAGAACGCACCATTTTTACGATTAATTGTTCCTTCGATGATTTTCGATTCCTCCTTCAGCAATTTCTCCTTTTTTTTTCTTTTTCTTTTTTGTGTTATAGTTAGGGACTCTAAATGTTCAAAAGTTTTCCAACAATTGGAGAAAGCCCATAAATTTTGGTGAGCGCATGGTATTCTTCAATAGAAAGGCGAAATAATAGTTAGACGCGTAACAAACAATAGTAATATATTTGTCCTCAGTCACACTTTTTTTTTTGGATATATTTGTCCTTTCCATCCTATTTAGGTACGTATTTATTCTTGAATAGTTAAGTTTCATATTCTCATTTTTAGTGGCACGCCTACATGTATATATAGGAAAAGGGAATAGCACACGCCTGGTGTGCTTCCCTGTAAAAACATTGAAGTTGAAGGGTTATTTCTGTCATTTCCCTTTTCTGCATCAATTCTAACGCCTCCTCCATTGTTAACCATGGGCCATCTCCATCTGCTCTCTCCTCTTCTTCTCTTCTCCTTCATAGTTGTGTCCAGGTGAACATAATTTACACTTGAATTTATTTTGATTCTGCAATATTGCATCAACCTTAACGCCTCCTTTGATGTGCAGCACCGCCACCCACCTCCAATTTGGCCGACCGCCATCTTCGCACCTCGGTTCTCCTCTCCTCTTTGCTTGTTCTAAATTTTGCACTTTGGTGGAGTCTACAGCTGCTTCCTATATCAGGTGAGCGTCCTTTACACAAATTTTACGGGTCTTTTCGTTGCTTTGATTCCGATTCCCTGACTCGGCCTCTACTATTTGATTTCACAATCCTTTTGTAATTCGCTTGCCTGCAACAATTTCTTTGGGTCTCTTCGACTTTTCTTTTGGGCCACCGTTTCAACTTGACTTTGGGCTTCTCTATATTTTTAAGCTTTTTTGACTTCAAACATTTTTGTATTTATCCTATATCGACAATCATCATGTGTACAATTTAAAAGAACACAATTTCCTCTCTACAAAGCTCAAGGTCAAACATTATATTTTGTTGGAATTTATATAATATAGTGTATAATAAAATTATTCCATTCACTTTTGATTTTGTTAACTTCATCAAACTTTCCTCTGCAAATTTCTACTGCTACTCAAAAATCCACAATTCACTGAAAGATTCAAAGCCTGCAACTCTTCAGTAGTTTTGAAGAAGCAAATCTGAAAATCACTCATGCCATGGTATTTCAAAGATAACATTTTTATCCGTTTCATAGAATTGACAGTAAAGTTAATTTATAAACTTATCAGGTACTGTGGAGATTTCTGTAGTAACGAGAACAACAAGTACTCTCAAAAATATTTTAACTAGATCTGATACTGCATTTCTGCCCCCATTCCATATCCATATGAAATAGAATTATTATGAGTCTAAATTCAAATATAGTGGACTTTTTTAAACCTTTACTCTAGCTATTGAAAGACTACCTAAAGCACACAATAAAACTAGATATGAAAAAGTATGCAACAACCTATTTGATGTTTGTATATTTCTTCTGCTTGCTTTGCAGTGAGTGCAACTACTACTCCCCACAGGGAACATGCAGGTCAGTGTATACTGGGAGAAACCTACTCTTTTTTCAAAAAATAACAAGATGTTTTGATCTAACCCTTATTCACTGGCACTATCACCTGATTCACCATTCTCAGTTGAAAATTGACAATACCAGGGCATTATTCGTAGCTAATCCTTTTTTATAGTAAGCAAAACAAGTCCATTCAAGAGGCAAATGTTATTTATCAGTGTGTTATTTGCCAAGTTGATAAACATGCTATTTTCAACGGTTAGTCTGCTCCTTGATCGTTATAGCTTTTGCCTTTTACTATGTGCACATAGATGACCATGATAAGTATAGGGAAATAATACACAAGTTGTTTGCAGATGGTTCTTAGCCTAAGTTTATTGACAGTGTTTTTTTTTTTTTTTAATGAAGTATTAACAGTGTATGAGTAAATTTAAGAAATTATTGTTCTCCAGATGCTTTGATTTTGAGAAGTGAGTTTCTGCATTTAATTTCGAAACTGTTATGGATTAAATACCTCCTTATTCACTTTACCAGCCTGATTAATTCTTACTATTCGCTCCGTTCCTTTTTGGTTATCATAACTTCCTTTTTAAGAGTCAAATCATATGAATTTGACTAACATTTTAAGATGTATTTTTTCATCATACTGATATACAAAATGTTGCAATTTATAGTACTTTCCGTATAGTTTTTGAATATCTATAATCGAATAACTATAATCTAATTTAGCTTTGAAAATTAGTCAAATTGACTCTCAAAAAGTCAACATGACACCTTAAAAGGAGTGGAGTGAGTATCATTTAAGCACAGGTCAAGACTTCAACCCAGTTTGTCTACAACATTGGTCTTGCTCATGTTAATTCCAGAGACCAACTTCTTGAATGGGTCTTGGCAAAGTCATTGCTAAATTTGTGAGTCTTTAGATTGAACCACAAAAGCAATATATACATTTTAATTTCATGTAGCAACTATAAAAACACATCCTCTGGCGAAAATTGTATGCCTAATTCATCTTCGCAGGGTTATCGTTTATCCAATACAACAACAAATGTTACACTTTGTACATGCCTTATGAAGAGTAGGCAGTTCAAACTATGTCAAATAGTTAATTCAACTGCCTACGCCTACTGACGACAACAGACAACAGCCACAATATTTGATTATGAGTGAATCTAATAAGTTTAATTTTTCATTCTAAAACAATACTACTACAACCCTTTTTTGCCTCTCATTTCCAAAATGGTTGTTCCCAAACAAAATACGTCCTGCAGACCAACCAAGATGCATACTCAACTCAATCACTAAAATGCTCCACTTTACTTATGAGCATAACATATTGTAATAACCTTCCCAGTGATTTTGTTTTTGTTGGGCCCGGGAAACCCTTACTAGTATATATATATGTTTTTTTTCATTTAAAATTTTCGAGTTTTGGGCTAAATTCATCCCTTAACTATGACTAAGGCTTAGGTTACTATAATAGTTAACAAGAAACATCCTTTTAGTATTTAAAATATAACAAAACTCAGTCTTCTGTCTATTTCAGTTAAAAAACTAACATTGCTTTTGCAAAAAGTGATTTTCTCTCTCCCATATCCCTATTTTGCCCCTCTTAAATCTATCCCATCGTCTTCCATATTCAGCTAAACCAAGAAGGAAACTCAATATTTTCTGAACTTCACAAAATAATCAAGATCAAAAACAATTTTTTCTCTTCAACAAGAGTTGAAAACAGGGCAGAGGGCTATACACAAACTAGGTAAAGGAATAAAAAATCATTGAAAAATTTCTAGTTTTTCTGATTCGAAAAATATTTGCAATTTTCTATTTTTCAAACTAAAACATCTTCGTTCTTTTAAACACTAGATATTGTGGGTTGCAGCATAACAACTAATCGGAACCATGTTGCTTCGAAGTTTAAGTGGTTGATCGTCCACACCCAACTATGGTATTATCGATATTCAAGACATTTTAAGGATTTTTTAATATAATTTGCAATGCCTTTCATATTAATTTATAAGTATTACTGAGATTATGTAACTTTTTCAGTTGGCGAGATGAAGAGACTAATGTAAACTAGTGAGGAGCATAGACAAGCAAGCAGAGCCTACCCATCGTGTGATTCGAACATTCTCAAAAATGGTTGATCTAGAAGCACAACTTCAAGATTATTACAAGAATTAGAAGCAATTGGCGAAGAACTATCTATGGTTAAACAAGATAAACAAAACTGGAAGTTGCAAAGGGAACATAATGAGAAATTGATATAGCAGTGGAAGTAGTTGTTTTATGTTATGTTAAACTCACTTGAACTTCTTGTATTAAATTCATTATGTATGTTCTTCAAGTTCAATAAAAAGCATTTGGTATAGTCTAATCGTTTTTTCCTTTTCACATCTTGAGCACTTTAAACTACCAAATAACCACTGAATAGGCAAAAAAAAAGTAACAACATAGTAAGAAAAAAACATAAACCTGCAAAATTGCAGAAAAACAACAAAAAAAACTGGTAAACCAGCAGCAAAACAGCAAAAAAATGCCCAAAAAAAACCAAACGAGTAGAAAACTGAAAAGAAGAAAAGAAACTCATGATTTTAGTAAAACAGAAAGTTAATGTAACAACAAAGACACCACAAAATAAGCAAAAAACAGCAAAGTCTAGTGTCATTAAATCATCATAAAGCTAAAACATTTTTCATTAGTTCCATGCACAAGAACATAACAAATGAACAACAAAAACTAGTCACATATCATTAGTTTGATACATCAAATATCCAAAAAAAAGATCCAAAGCTAAAAATGTATTTTCTTCAATGTTGCAACTTCATAGAGAAAATGGAAAGCTCTGACGTTGTTGGCTGGCTTGAGATGTACCTCTTCTAACCTGAAATAAGAAATTAAAATATTAAATATGAATAGTTATACAAGTAAGCTACAATAAAAATAACTTAAATATGAATATTTGAATATTCTTACCGGTAGCTTTTCAACATTTTGGCAACTTGATGCTTCCTCGACCATGATGGAGTCCAAACTACAAAGGTAGTCCAACGGATGAATTTCAATGTCATCTGAAGAGAAACTGCAAGTTCTACTGTTGTGGCTAGGTTTACCACATTTTCTACAATCAACTGATTTTTGTTTCCGTTTTAACTTCATCCTGCTAGCTCTTGGCTCATCATCTTCTTTCCTTCTTAATTTTTGTTTCTTTCCTTTCTTCTTATTATTCAAGTAAGAAGGTGGAAATTATGGAGGATTCAGTGACTTAGGCCATAAATCAGGGCCATTCATGGGCAATATTGAAGCGTCATAAATTTTTCGATATGTATCAACCTTGTATCAATCATCAACATAGTTTAAAACCTCATCATTTTTCAACCAAATCGAGGATATAGCATGTTTACAAGGAACTCCTGATAATTCCCATTGCCTACAACTACAGGTTCTGTTATATAAGTCAACAACACAATTATCACCTTCGACCGGCCCAATTACCTCATAGTTCCACATGTTCGACCTTTTGGGAATATAATCAGCAACTTTCTTCATAGTTTTGACCAACTTCTTCTTAATAGTAGGACAAATATCATTCAAGTTCCATTTTTCAGCTTTCTCCCTATTAGAATTAATTCTTGTCATGAGTAAGTGCCTAATGGTCTCCAGAAGTTTAACAATTGATTTATCTCTTGCATCAAGAATAAACTTATTAAAAACCTCACATTAGTTGTTCAAAAGAATGTCACATTTAGGAAGAGACGAGAAATGTGATCTTGACCATTCACTAGGCACTTTAGCAGAAAGCCATGCATAAGCATCTTTATCTAATTCAAACAAATCAGTCATACAAGCATCAAACCTGTCAATAGTTGTTGTTGAAGTTGCCTTCCAAAGAGCATTTTTTAAAGCCATTCCAGAATATCCAGCTCTCTTGAAATTGCTATGCAAATGTCGCACACAAAATCTATGAGAAACACCAGGCAACACTAAATCAAAAGCTTCAATGAGCCCTTTTTGCTTATCTGACATAAAAGTCCACAAGTATTGCTCTTCAATCTCAAGATCATTCATCAAGTAGGTTAAGAACTATTGCCATATTTCCTTATTTTCTTTCTTGGCTATTGCATAAGCCATTGAAAAGATGTTATTATTTCCATCCAAAGTAACAGTTGATAGCAATTGTGCCACATACATAGTATTCTTCATCCAACATCCATCGACCCCAATAATCTTTCGACAACCAGCCTTAAATCTTGTTTTACAAGCTGCAAAACAAATATAAAACCTCTAAAATCTCATTGGCGTATTCAGAATCTCATTTGGAGTTAGTTTTATGAAAATAGAAGTTCCAGGATTGGTTAGAACAATTTCATTGCAATAATTCCATAATATACCAAACTGATCATTTATATCTCCATCGATCATTGCAATAGCTTTTTCCTTTGCCCTTCTTGCTTGATGCATACTCACATGCAACTTTAATTCCCTACTCAATGTATCTCTGAATTCGGATGTTTTCCAGTTCTTATTTGATTTAATTCTATCAACATACTTCCTTGCAATCCAACTAGAATTGATGGTTTTGTTGTTATAGTTCCACCCAAAACAAGTATGCTCGGAAACAAACGTCTTGATTTGAAAAGTAGATATATCCCTTTGCATTAGTGATCCCAATATCCTCTACTTACAAGCATTAGTTCTGCATTTGGCCCTAGCTCTTTCTCTGTCATCTTTGCTCCACCGAATTGACTTTCCTATTTTGTCTTGATTTGCAACCACGGCTTCCTTGAATTCCTTTTTGTTATCAAATACCATTCCCAGCTCTAATTCAGGATTAAAGGCACCTATTTTTGGGTTATGCTTTGGAAAGTTACAATCTTCAAATTCAGAATCGCAATCACTATTCAAACTCTTTGTATCATCAAAATCTACACAATCTGAGTCACCCTCCTCATTCTGCATCTTTCTATGCATCTCTTCACTTACATAATTTTGATTTCCATCATTTTTCTTCTTTTTCACAGTTATATTGATCCCAAACGATTCAACAAAAGGATCAACATTTTTTTAAAATAACAGATCATCCTCCTCCAAAGAATAGTCAGAATCATTAAAATCCTCATCGTCAAATTCATCACTGTGTGCCTCTGTGTCATTTGCCACCAAAGAATTCTTTTTCATCTCATTGCCACATTGATTATCATCATGATAAAAATTCAAATGTTCAAAATATATCTCAACTACTCTATCCTTTGGAATGCAAGTAACAACTTTAACGGCTTCCATATTACTCCCAACTAATTGAACCTTATAAGAGTTTAAACCATACTTGTGCCAAAATACCACAGATTTCTTGTCATAACCACATTGTTCCGCCATATTCTTAAAATCTATTAGATTAATCATTGTACTGTCGACATAGTCAAAGTATTCGATTTTTCCACCTATGTAGCCTCTTGTCGAACTACGCACAAATGATCCACCATGATGTACTTTAATTGTGAAAAACGATGACTCATTCATAAAATCTGCATATATACTATCAAGTTATCAACGGTGTAAAAACTGTTATTTATACAAATATAATACAAATCAGAATACATAAAGCCAACAAAGAACTACAAGTTCATTATAATGAATATCCAGAAAACAAAACCTTATATATCAAATAAAAAACTTAATATAGCTTTTCAAAATCAATAATACTTAAAAATCAATATGAAAGGCACTGCAAATTATATTAAAAAATGCTTAAAATGTCTTGAATATCGATAATACCATAGTTGGGTGTGGACGATCGACCACTTAAACTTCGAATCGACATTGTTCCAGTTAGTTGTTATGCTGCAACCCGCAATATCTAGTGTTTTTTAAGAATGAAGATGTTTTAGTTTGAGAAATAGAAAATTGGAAATATTTTTCGAATCAGAAAACTTAGATATTTTCAATGATTTTTATTCCTCTACCTTGTTTGTGTATCGCCCTCTGCCCTGTTTTCAACTCTTGTTGAAGAGAAAAAATTGTTCTTGATCTTGATTATTTTGTGAAGTTCAAAAAATATTGAGTTTCCTTCTTGGTTTTGCTGAATATAGAAGACGATGGGACAGATTTGAGAGGGGCAAAATAGGGAGATGGCAGAGAGAAAATCACTTTTTGAAAAAACAACGTTAATTTTTTAACTGGAATAGACAGAAGACTGAATTTTGTTATATTTTAAATACTAAAAAGGATGTTTATTGCTAACTATTATAGTACAAGGATGTAACATAAGCCTTAGTCATAGTTAAGGGATGAATTTAGTCCAAAACTCAAAATTTTCTTCTAATTTAATTATTATATCCAACCCAATGTTATACCCATCCATTTAACCCATAAAATGCAAATTTTAATACTTTTATTTCATTATCACTTTCCCAAGGAGAAAATCATCTTCTTTAGAAATACTCGAGAGTTTTCTTTATTTACAGAAAATGGAACTCTACTCCTCTGTAGGAAACTGGGTCTGTTTTGGCAACCAAAGAAATGGAGAAAGAACTTTTAATTGTTCTGCTTCAGTTTTACTTGATTTGTCAGCCCTTTGTTTTCCTCTTCCTCGAGTTCATGATGATGATGAAAGGAAGGACAATAGTTTGGGTAGAAGGACATATTCCATATGTATATCCAATTGTTGAAATTGTTGAATTTAAGGTTACTATATTTATTTGTGAATTTTTGGCGTAAATTTTATATTTTTATTCATATTTTTTCTATTTTTTATTAATAAATTACTCATTTTCAAAATTTACCAAAAAAATAAAAATTAAAAAAAAATTGTTGAAATTGCTGAATTTAAGGTTACTATATTTATTTGTGAATTTTTGGCGTAAATTTTATATTTTTATTCATATTTTCCTAGTTTTATTAGTCAATTACTCATTTTGGGATTACCGAAAAAATAAAAATTTAAAAAATTGTTGAAATTGCTGAATTTAAGGTTACTATATTTATTTGTGAATTTTTGGCGTTAATTTTATATTTTTATTCATATTTTTCCTAGTTTTTATTAGTCAATTACTCATTTTTGGGATTTACCGAAAAAAATAAAAAATTTAAAAAAATTATTGAAAATGGGTCGGGTAGTTTATTTAAAGGGAAAACTACATAAATCT